TTTTAAAACAGTAGTTATATAAGTACCTTCATAATTGCTTCAATTTTGCCTACTGACTCACAAAGCCAAAAATATTTACTACCTGGTCAATCCCTGGTTTAGAATAAAAATTAACATAAATGTGCTATTAACCAACACTTACAAAATTTTGAAATACAATTAAATACACTTTTAATATAAGATTATTTAGAGAAAAGACTGTATCAAATCTCAATTAAAGAAGGAGTATTAGAGACCAAATGAAGTGACAAAGGGGTTCCCACAGGAGGCGAGCTTGAAATGGAGGGTCAGAGCTTGAGTGAGGTGGGCATCCACACATGGGGACCAGCCCTGTGCAGTGTCAGACCCTGAGTAGGACAAGGAGGGTGTCCACTGGGGACAATGGGGGGAACGTCCCAGTACACAGTGTCAGAGCCCAAGTGAGCTGAGAAAGGCATCAGCTCACGGAGGGGTGGCAGCAACAACAGGAGACTGGTTACATACACGGGCATTTATCAGATGGGAGCCAGGTTTCTCACTGCCAAAGAACAGACATACAACTATGGAATGAGAGGAAAACGAGAATGAACCCTATGGTGCTGGGCTGGAGTATCTTTTACTAGAAAGCAAAGAAGTGCTCAAAGAATGATGGGGACATGCAAAAGGACACAGAAGTCGGCTTGAAGGGACTTGTACTGGCTAAATTAAGAACAATTTAAGCATCAAAATAATGATATAAATGGATTATAACACATGAATAAAATAAACTGGAATTTCCATGAGGAAAAAGATTTTTATACAGTTTCAAAGTATTTCCCACAAAATACTTATTACAAAGAGAAAAAAAGAGTAATTTTACAGTAAAGAAACTCGTCAGGCAGCAACTTAGCCAAGTGACATAGGTGAACATGGTTGATAATGGAACAAACCAAAATCATATGCCACCTGATAGGATGCAGTGAGACAATGCAGCATCCCTCTGTGATACTCCTGCCAAGATGAATAACCTGAATCTAATCATAGAGAAGAACATCAGGCAAATCTAAACTGAGGGGCATTCTAAAAGACAATCAGTCTGTAATATTCAAAAGTGTCAAGGTCCATAAAGAAAGCAAAGATGAAGATACTGCTCTAGACTGATAAAGACTAAGAAACGGGACAACTAAACTCAGTAGGTGATTCTGAACTGGACATTACTGAGACAACTGGCAATACTTGAATATGGTCTAAGTCTTAGATGGTAGTACTGTACTAATGTTAATATCCTTATTCTGATCACGTCATTGTGGTTGTGCAGGAAGAAGTTCTCGTATGCGAGAAATGTACCAAAGTATCAGAGGTAGGGGGCATTAGATTGGCAACTTACTCTTAAATTGTCCAGCAAACAAGTATCTCTGTTTTATACTTAACAACTACTTTGCAGGTTTGTGATAACTTTAAAATAAAAATTTTAAAGCTTTTTTTTTTAAAAAAAAGAGGCATAAGTATAGGTAATATGAAGTGAATCTAGTTCTCTCTTGATTTTTAAATGTAGATAACTTAATTTGAGGTTTCTTTGAGGCAAGTCTTACTGTACCAAATCAAAAGCCACACCACCATCGTTAATCCAGACAAACCTGGAGATGGGAAAAAAGCTGCTTCCAAT